CCTCCATTCTTTTACCATAAAAGACAGATAGTAGAAATGACAAAATGACTGAAAGCTACTAAAACAGTAATAAGATCACTTAGTATTCAATTGTTTGGCCTCTTTAAACTGGCTGCATCAATCCACCATGGACAGAATGGTATTATTTTAACAATCAAATCACCTACAGCTCTTTAATCCTCTCGTAAATTGTACAATCACTGTTCAACACCAGCTATTCACTGAAAACTGATCATATATTCAGTAAGAGTTACTCAGCGAATTCCAATCTTCATCTCGTCAAGTGTTTTTTTCTAATTTCCAATTTTCTAGCTTATTACCATTATTTTAACATTAAAAAGATAACATTGACAATGATGATCTTTAGACTCCACGAGGTTTTTAAATTGCTACGCTAACTGATTTTATATCAAACTGTTTTTATAAATCAGACTCTGTGGCTACACTAGTTTCATTATTTTACCATCTTCCCGTTCAATCTTGACATCAGACTATCGTACTCAATGAGTGTTTTTATTTCGTCTGAATTATTCCATGGTTATAATTTATAAACTTTCTTATAATTAGACTGTATTTTATTACTAACATCAATACTTCAAAAATATTATTAACTTTGTGGACTCTCTGAAAGAGATGTCAAGTTGATAACCCTAAATATCAAATATTCATAATTAGCTATGTGGACTCTCTGAAATGGAATTTAAGTGGCATAAGGTGTTCTAAGGATTGTTAAAATTGGAAACTATTGCATATTTTTCACATTAATACTTTTCTGCACCATGTGGGCTAATGAAGACAGGAAACACCATGCAGTGTGCAATGAGGGAAATTTTGCTAGGAAAACAGCGTTTCCCTACTCTGTTTAGATTCCCAACTGTCAAAGAATCTATAACATATATCTATATGACATCTTAAACATTTATTACATCAGGTTTATCTGAAGTGACCAGTGTTTATAAAATGAAACTGACATTATAAATTAAACCAACTATCTCCATATGTTAACTTTTGTTTCATTTCTAGTTTTAAAATATTTTTCTTAAAACAAATCTAATATGAATACGGCTTATCATCTGATGTGAAACTTGATAAAAATAGTTTATTGTTAAGGTAGAAACCCTGCTGGGCCTGTCACTAGTTTGAAGTAGATTATTGTCAGATACTAGGGGTCACCCTAAATAAATACCCTTCATCAATAAACAGGGTTGAAGGGGGTCAAACTTGTTATATGGCTGTGGTAATCTTTCAATGTAAATATTTCACTGAATTATAACACTGCAACACCTGCCACTTATTATACACTTAATTATTAATTATTTAATTCCTTAATTATGCAAATTATCTGTGATTAAAATAACAAGTTTTAAAGATATATCAGATCAAAAATTTACACGTTAAAAATAATTTACAAAGTTTAGAATTAATAATACAGTAATCTTGAAGATTAGAAAAATACACAATTTCATCAGGGAGGTATTTTAGTTTGCAACAAATCAAATACAACAATGGGGCTACTTGGTGCTATAGGTTTGAATTCCCCTTAATTTGAGAAAAACTCTAGAACCATAGCAAGTCTTATCAATATTTGACCTGATAATTTTCAATCTTTATAACTAAATGTTGGAATTTGAAGCTGATAAATGGTTGTTTATTCAGTGACTAATTTACAACCAATTACGCCAAAATTCCACATTCAACAGAGCAAGTCATTAGACAAGATAATATATTTTGTTGGAAATGTTTGTTAGTAAGAATAAATGTTGTATATTTAAGTGAATTGTGTTATTTAAGATAAATCTATTCTATTCAACCATTGTAATTATAGAAATACAAACAAAATAAAATAAACCCTCTCTCCCTCCGTCCATCCAAATACAACAACTTAAATTAATCAACCCCCATCTTAAACATCTCATAATTCACCCAGTTTACACGCTGGTTACTATAGCAACCATTATTAACCCCTTCACAACCAGCAAGCGATTACATACATCAAACACACAGGTAATAACTAGGGGGTGGGGCATTCAATAGGGGGATCACTTTCACATATTGACACACCCCCAGGGCTATTATCCTCTTATGTCAGTGTCATACCCTTTCATTCCTTTAATCTTTCATTTTGTCAGTCATTTGTTCATTCATTCCCTTGTGAAGCCATAAATTCATTTAATTCAGTCATTCATTTGTTTAGTCTCTCATTCATTCATTCATTCATTCATTCATTCATTCATTCATTCATTCATTCATTCATTCATTCATTCATTCATTCATTCATTCATTCATTCATTCTGTAATTCATTCATTCTGTAATTCATTCGGTAATCAATTAATTCATTCATTTTTTTTTATTCATTCATTAAATTATTTTCTTACTTATTTTCTTCATTCATTGTCTCCAAACTGTACTGTATATTCTCATTTTTTCATTTAATCATTCAATCATTCCTTTGTTTAGCCAATTATTGATTCATTCATTCATTCTGTAATTCATTCATTCATTCTGTAATTTATTCATTCATTCATCATTTTTCATCTGAGTTATTCATGAGTTAAATTATTAATTTGATTCGATTCATTTCGTTTTCACTCATGCAATTAATTTATACTTCAAGCAAAAATATAAAATAGCAATTCATGCATATTATTAGCTATGTGGACTCTCTGAAAGAGATGTCAAGTTGACAAACCTAAATACCAAATAAACATTATTAGCTATGTGGACTCTCTGAAAGGATTTTGAACAGTTGCTTTCCCCAGCCAGGATGAAATATATATACTAAAATAACAATGTTAACTATATAGGTTCTCCTAAATTATACAATATTTACATTTCTATCACTCCCTTCAATGAACCAGTTACGTAAACTGGTGTTATTTTTCTATGCAATCTATTTTGTGGCAAATTCAAGGAACGGATCATATAAAACAGTGAAAATTGTATTAATAAAAGTATCTGAATATAAAAGACCAACTATTAATTCTTAAATGTCAAAAATAACATGGATAGTGATAAAGCATTAAAAGAAAATACTTGTATATATGTATGTATGTTTGAGGGTGTGGAAAGGGTCAGAGGCTGGTGAAGGGGCAATCTCAGTTTTTTCTCTGATTATGTGACACAGTGGTTCTTTGAGAATAAGGGACAGTTTGATGTCTGGATTTTTTGTAACACTTCCTCATTAACAAACGTCTGTGATACAAGTAAGGTGACTATTACAGTCAAGGTATAAGATGTAGTTTATAATAGTTTGACATTGTGAAGATGTGATACAAGTAATGTGACTATTACAGTCAAGGTATAAGATGAAGTTTGTAATATCACACTTTAAACAGAGACTTAAATCACGGAGTAAATCACTGATATAGAAAGAGTAATTCACTGGCCATCTTACATCTTGACCTAATTTAACTATCTAACTAGGTCAAATAATAAACAATATATATATAGTATACTATCTCTAACTCCAGGGTAATTTTTAATTTTTGGGAGTAATAAGGTGCTTCGTAATCTGGCATAAAATTGTTGACCTATTATAATTAAAATATCTGAACCTATCTATATTGTTTTGAGAATAATATGACCAGGATGTGATGGTCCAATATTTGATCTATATCACTATATTATTATAAAGAATTCGATAACTGTACAGGTCATTATATTACCAACAAAACCACAGAAAAGAATTTCGTTAAACATGGCGGTATATCAGAAGAATTTACATTAACACAAGTTCTCTACCGTACTTGTTTACATTATTACATTGTCTAACATTGTGTCAATTGACACAGGCTCAAAATACACGATCCCCTTTCTTAAAATATCTAACTGGTAAATTTCTATATACTTTATTTTATATAGCTGAATACTTCAATAATATACAGACAAAAAGTTGAGAAAAAATTCACATGAAAATCAAATAAGTTTACACACATACATACATCTTCACAATGTCAAGCTATTGGGAACTTTGACCATGTTATATGTGATACAAGAAAGTTGCTATTGCAGTCAAGGTATAAGACACTGTTTGTAATAGCTTGACATTGTGTAGCTGTGATAAAAGAAAGGTGGCTATTTCAGTCAAGGTATAAAACCAAGTAATATCTTGACATTGTGAAGATGTGATAAATATAGCTACGAGATTTTGTTTTAGTTGACAGGAAAACGGAACCTGAAACATGTTATAAGACTTGAACAACATTTAGAAGTGAGGGGCACAAATCACAAACACCAGACACTCGGCCAGTGCTTTTAGGAGACTATGTTCTCATTATCATCTAACACAAGACAATATTATGAAATATTAATATTATATTAAAGAAGTGTGTTTATTGTATAATATTGTCTTCTGTTTGTGATAAGAAACGCTTTCTGACTCAGAGTTTCAGACTGGAAAACAAAATCACAAAATAAGAAGTTTTACATCCTACTGTTCTATACTTTAACCTTTTCTCCAGAATATTAAATAATTTCATAAAAATAAAAAAAATTTAAATTTTACAAGTGAAACTGAGTTATTATTTCCTATGAAACTTAACACACCTCGCCAACTCGCTTTTTAAATTCACAAAATATATTCATTGACATGCATTATTATTGACTTTATGTTGTCAATATTTATTACAGGGTTTGTAAAATAGATGTAAGCATGCCCATCCTGGTTTACAAGAGATATTGTAATGTATATAATTGCATGAATTAGATTCATTTTGTCAACAGACTGTTTTTCATCTTCTATCCCCGAGATAATCCATGGTCTAGACTAACCTCTAGTCTACTAATTTTACACTTTTACCATCAATTATAACTCATGCTTTTAGCGTACACATTCTAATTATTTATCTAATGTAATAAATATTCCTTAAGCTATATTAACAGCTATTTATTTTATATTTAGGGGAGATGACATCACATCAAAGAATTTTATGGTTTACTACTCCCTGAGTTTTATTGTACACAATGTTTCAACAATTTACATTGTCATCATCAGTTTATATGGTATACTACTCCTGAGGTTTATTGTACACAATGTTTCAACAATTTACATTGTCATCATCAGTTTATATGGTATACTACTCCTGAGGTTTATTGTACACAATGTTTCTATAAATTACATTGTCATCATCAGTTTATATGGTATACTACTCCTGAGTTTTATTGTACACAATGTTTCTACAATTTACATTGTCATCATCAGTTTATATAGTATACTACTCCTGAGTTTTATTGTACACAATGTTTCTACAATTTACATTGTCATCATCAGTTTATATGGTATACTACTCCTGAGGTTTATAGTACACAATGTTTCTATAAATTACATTGTCATAATCAGTTTATATGGTATACTACTCCTGAGGTTTATTGTACACAATGTTTCTATAAATTACATTGTCATCATCAGTTTATATGGTATACTACTCCTGAGGTTTATTGTACACAATGTTTCTATAAATTACATTGTCATCATCAGTTTATATAGTATACTACTCCTGAGTTTTATTGTACACAATGTTTCTATAAATTACATTGTCATCATCAGTTTATATGGTATACTACTCCTGAGGTTTATTGTACACAATGTTTCTATAAATTACATTGTCATCATCAGTTTATATAGTATACTACTCCTGAGTTTTATTGTACACAATGTTTCTATAAATTACATTGTCATCATCAGGTGAAATAATTTAATACAAATATTCATCAAGTATGAAAATATCGCCTCAAGTATTCTAAAAATACTAGGATAATAGAAGATAAAAATACTAGGATAATAGAAGATAAAAATACTAGGATAATAAAAATACTAGGATAATAGAAGATAAAAATACTAGGATAATAGAAGATAAAAATACTAGGATAATAGAAGATAAAAATACTAGGATAATAGAAGATAAAAATACTAGGATAATAGAAGATAAAAATACTAGGATAATAGAAGATAAAAATACTAGGATAATAGAAGATAAAAATACTAGGATAATAGAAGAT